AAGGCATGGATGTTGCACGATCTGATTGGTGCTAAGGCAAATGTGGTATCGTCAGCCAGTAACAAAGCCTACCGTTGCGCCAGCACACTGGTGCTGTCATGCAGAGCGGGTGACAATGAAGCAACAGATGCATGCATTGCGCTGGCCTCTCGAATGAAGGCCAGATGCAGCCCCATTGTCGTCTCTCCATTCGAGTCGAATCGCGCCCCCCTTTCTTGTCGAGGTCATTCTTACGTTGGGGCAAAATTGCCCCTCTCACTGACTCGTTGCCTAGCTTTCTTCTCAGTCTCACCTGTCGTGCAAGAAGCCCTCCATCGTCTCTCTCACGTTGATCGCTCTACTGCCCCCCACGTCGCCATGGCTGACGCCGGCGACGAGGCTCCTGAGGACGATGCTGACGGCCATGTCGCAGCTATGGCCGATGCTCGATCAGGGCTAGACATGCTACTGTCTAGCCTGTCTTCGCTACGCAGCAATCCTAGGGCAGTAGAGGCCCGTGTAGCACCCACCACCATCAATGGAAGAGCGGGCATCCTTACGATGCCCGCAGTCAGAAATACCCCACCCGCAGTAGCGCGACTGCAGCCGATCCACCCGGCGAACGCTTCCTCCCCAGAGGCTGTGCAAGCAATGCCACCTGGCTGCTGGAGTCTTCCCATTCCGGTTCATGCTGCAGAAATTTCGGTACCTGGTCCGTCGACGTTCCAACCCGCAGACAGCGCCTCTCCAGCGGCTGTCCCGCCAAAGTCTGCCGCGCGTGTGAGTCGAGACAGCACAGTCCCCGTTGCCGAATCCCCGCCCCCAGCTGTACCCGGGCCGTCGTCTACTCAGCCCGCTTACGACTCCTCTCCTGCGTCTGTCTCTCAGCGGCCTTGTGGGCGCTACCGGCAGGCTGTTCTGCCATTTGGTCAGCCCAAAGTGAAACAGCCATCACCGCCCGATGAAGAAGCTGCCGACGCCGACGATGTTGACGACACCCCAAACAGGTCGTCGACCAAGACAACGAGTTCTGAGGAGCAGTATGCGGAGGCTCACAGCAGGTTTAAGACCCGTTGGTCGACGCGATTCCCGTGGCTTGTCATTTTAAAGACTGACTCTGGCTTGCCTGCCTTTAAGTGCACCCTATGCTTGGAGCACGCAGGTCTTTCTGGGAAGGCTGGCAAGCGTGGCCCAGGCCTATGCGATGCTCAGACTCAGGCGTTCACACGACATGCGGGGTCCGGCAAGCACCAACTCGCTCTGCAGAAGCAGAACGATCTGCTGCAACAGGCAACCAGACAACAACGCATCGATCAACATCCCCTTGCCGGGGACCTTGAGAGGGAGCGCGTCACTGCCCTGCTGGACGCCTTGTGGTTCTGCTGCAAGACTAACGAGCCGGCCGAGACATGGATCCGGCTCGTTCAGTACCTGGCGTCGCGGAAGGTGACGGGTTTCCCGCAGCAGGCCTACGGCACGTACTACAACACGTGAGTATACAATCATCACCGCTTAGCTACGGACTTCATTCTGTTAATGCCCTCTATGTTCTCTGATTATTTAGACCCTCCGATTAGTGCGCGTCTTAGGTTGCACGTCGTACTTACAGTGTGTGTTAGTCCATGTGAACCGTGCAGGTACGGATTCGGCGAATTCACACTAGCAACGGCAACCTGGCTCCAAACAACGCAGCTTCACCACCTTCTGTCGAGTCCTTACATCGGCCTCATGCTGGACGAGAGCACCGACCGCTGCCGAGGGAAGCACTTGATTGTGTACGCCCACTTCATCCGTGACAACCGGCTGGTGTGCGAGTACCTGGCCTTGCTGACAGTGGACAAAGCCGATGCGTCTTCACTGCTCGCCCTACTGCTTACCCACCTGAACGCCATTGGGGTGGATCTCCAGCGAGTCTCCGGGATCAGCACTGATGGGGCGGCTGTCATGATGGGGTCGAAGAGTGGGCTTGTTACTCGACTGCGCCAGCAAGTGCCTCACCTTGTGTCGTGTCACTGTATTGCGCATAGGTAAGATATGTCATCCTGAGTACAAGAGTTAACGCCGTCTTCAACTTTGCTTGCAATATGCTCATGTATTGGTTTCACGTTTTGTCATGCAGGGAGGCTTTGGCAGCCAAGGCAGCATCAGAGGCGCTTCCGGTGTTTCAAATTGTGGATGACTTCATCAAGGAGCTGGCGGAGTACTTCGGAAGATCCGGCCCGTGGCACCAGCGCTTTCTCGACTTGCAAGACCTGTTCCTCTCGACAAACTTGGAGCTCCAGGGTATTCACAACATTCGATGGTTGTCGAGAGGTGAGGCAATCTTGAGGTTGCTGGCGGTGTTGCCTGCGCTTGTGGTTATGCTCAAAGAGTTCCCCGACAACAGGCTCTACAGAATTGCGACCAGTTACCGCTTCTGGTTCTTCGTCCACTTCCTTGCTGACGTCCTCGAGCAGCTCAACATCCTCAACAAGGGCTTTCAGGAGCGCGAGGTGAGATAACAATTGCATTAGCGTGGTGGTATACTTGCGGACGTCACTTTATATTGTTGTCCTACCTTGCTTGCCCCCGACCTTCCCCCATCCCCCCATCAGCTGGACTACCTGACCGTCCACGCGTCCGTCCTTCGCATCACCAGCCTGTTCCTGAGCCGCTACGTCGATTGCGGGGATGAGTTCGGGGGTGGCCCGAAGGACCGTCTCACCAACTTCCTCACCCTTCATGGTCCTGGCGGTTCTCGCGAGGTCACTGTCAGTGGCGTGGACTCCGACGGGAGTCTCACGAGCTTCACATTTGAGCTTCACGTTGACACGCTGCAAGGGTACCCTGGGGGAGGGAAGCATGACAACTGCGTGGTGGCTTGCATGGACCTGGCGGAAGGGATGGTGAATAACCTGAACGAGCGCCTCGGGGATCTTCGCAAGCTGGCGGGGGTAAAGCTGTTCTGCGTTTCTGCGTGGCCGAAGGACTGGGATCGGCAGGCGAGGAGGGTGCAGTGCTTGGAATGGTTCCACTCTTTGGTGGGGCTGTACAACGCGGAGCAGAGGAACGAGATCCTTCCAGGTGAACTCGTTACCATTAAACCCACCGACATGTACCATTGTACAACTGAGACTGTTGCACATGTGTTGTCTCTTTCTCTCAGTTGACTGTCTCCACCATAACCTTACACCACTCCCCCGACCTCTTTTCCCGTCTGTGGCAGGCATCGACAAGCGCCAAGCACTGCGGGAGTTGCCACACTTCACCCCGATCCTTGCTGCACTTCCGAAGAGCGAAAAAAGCTTCCACGCTGGCCTCACTGCGATGCTGAAGACAGCAGACTGGCAAGATGCCTACCCCAACCTCATGAAGCTGTGGGTGGCAGTGGCCGTGCTTCCGCTGAGCACGGTGGAATGTGAGCGGGGATTCTCACGACAGAATGTCATCAAGTCGTGGCTGCGGGGCAGCCTGAAGGACACACGGCTGAGCGATCTCATGTGCATCAGTCTGCTCGATTATGAGCCAAACTGGGACGAGGTGGTGGATGTGTGGCGGGCATACAAAAAGAGAAAGCCTTTCAGTACCGTGGCACAACCTAGGCTGCTCAGGAACAAGGGAAAGGAGGTGGTGGAGGAGGGACCTGTAGAAGTGTCGTCGACCATGGATTTTGCCATGGATGAATGAGATGCTTTATAAGTCTTAAATATGAATCATTGCTGGATCCGCTTTAACTACGTATTGCAAGCTTTGATGTGTGATATGATGTGATGTGATGTGATCTTCCAATGCAAAAAGCACCACGGTCATGCAGGACCCTAAATGTAAGGAACCCTGAAAAAACAGGCATCTTTTCAAAAGCTGTCCTGACTCTAAAGCTTGGTTTCCACTAGGCGTCCTGAAAATACAGGCAAAAAACGAGCGCCACCCCTGAGTCATCAGGAGGCCTCAAAACCAATCTGGGGGCCTGCTTCCTAGCTAAGCTAGTTTCTGACATGGTATTAGAGCAGTTCGTTCCGCGTGGGCCTGCTCCTCGCGTTTCCGCTGCGTGCTCGTTTCTCTCTCTATCTCGCGCTGCCATGGCGGCCGCGTCAAGCTGCCGTGGCCGCGTCGTCGTGCCGCGGCGCCGCCGTCGACGTCCATGGCGCCCGCGTCCAGCTGCTGTGGCCGCGCCGTCGTGCCGCAGCTCCGCCGTCGCGTCAAGATGCTGTCGCGACGTGACGGCGCCGTCACGCTGCCGCGGCGTCTACGCGACAGCGCGCAGTCGGCGTAACGGCGACGTCGTGCTGCCGTCGCAACGTCGACGCCCCGCTGCGGCATCGACGCCGCTCCATGACGGCGTCGTCGGGCTGCAGCCGGCCGCGTGACGCTTGTGGCGCCGCTAGACCGGCCGCCCGCATGTCAGCCTGTGGCGCCCCCCCCCCCCACCCCCCTCCTTCCCTTGTGCCCTCTTCCATTCCGCAGACGACGGCTGACTCCCGCCGGCCGTCCCACCGTCGCGGGGCCTGGCCACGTCACCGAGAGGTGCGGGTGCCGCCGCCGCTGCCGCTGTTGTCGAAGCCGCCGCCGCCGCCGCTGTCGCCGCTTGCGTCGGGGCCACGCAGCCGCACGCCGCCGCCGCCGCCGCTGTCGACACTGCCGCCGTCGCCGCCGCAGCCCCTGCGGTCGACGTCGCCGCCTCACGCGCCGTGGGGTCGACCGACCTAGAGTCGCTGTCACTGTGGCTGGAATGGGGGTGCTAGGTTAGGGGGTGTGGGTGTGTGTGGGCATGTGACTACCAAGCCTAGGGGGTGTGTTCAAATTATATAAGTTATAATTTAATATAGGCTTGGTAGGTTGTTACTGAACCTTTCTGTAGGGGGTACAAACCCCTCCTTGTACTCCCCTCTCTTCTAATCCAACACCTTTTCTCTCCTCAACTTTCCTAGCACCTAAAACCTCTCGCCATTCTCATGGCTCCTCCTAGCTCCTAGCTAAACCTTGTGCCATTCTATGGCTTCCTAGCTAAGCTAGTTTCTGACACTAAGGTCCAGCAATTCGACAAATCGGGCCATGCATTCCCTAAAAGAATTGAGCCTTCTATAAGCTCAGAAATGTGTAGACATAGAGGATGCAGTCATTCATGTCAATCTCTAATAATAAGCACAAATATTCTACAGCATTGGGAAATGTTGGGCTAAGTAAAGCCCGTGTCATTTGTTTTCTCCAACCAAGCGGGCGCACACTCCCTGTCCATCTCGTTTTGGACAGGCTTCCATGGCTGAAGAAGTTGTTTGCTTCGTCTGGATGATGGTGGTCAATCACACACACCCGCACTGTGCTTCGCTTGCTGGAAAGCAGTCTCAGCCAGTGATGTCGGTGGGCACGCCCTTCCCTCGTCTGCTGCTCACTCCTCGCCGCGTCACGCTTCCATAGACAGCAGCACCACCCAAGGCGGTGGCACTGCCATCATCACACGCACCTCCCTCACCCCCCTTGATGGGCGTGCTGCAGCCCAGCAGCACCGAGGCGTCGCTGCTGCCCCCCTCCACAGCACCTGCGGCGGACGAGGGCCGGATCCAGCTGCGAGCAGAGGGCAGGTCAATGCCCGTGCTGCTGCTGCTGGGTTCGCGGCGCAGGGGAGAGCGTGCCGGCCCCCCAGCAGCAGCAGCAGCAGAGGAGGAGTTGAGCGGCCCATTGGCGCCCTCGAAGGTGGAGAAGCTGGTGGACTTGTGGAAGCGCCACAGCAGGTCCTCCACCACGCGGCTTCCCCACCGCGCTGCCGCCCCCAGATTCACCGCCCTGCCATGCTGCCCCCGCACGCCCCGGCTGAACAGCCCCTGCCCAGATGACATGAGGCCCTGCCCTGACGACATGAGCCCCTGCCCTGACGACATGAGCCCCCACACTCCCAGCCCCTCGTCCCTGCCCGCTCCACGCCCCCTCGGTGCCTGCTCCACCCACCGCCGTCGTGACCCCCCTCCCCCCCTGCCTCCCACCTCCTCCTCCCCACTCGCCCAGCCGCCCTCCCCCTCACTGCCATACCCCCCTCGCCAACTGCTCGTCCCCCCTCCTCCCTCCTCCACCCCCAAGCCCCACCCGTATTCCTGGGCATTGGGCTGTCTTGCTTCCCCATTCCACGTGCTTCTGCCAGCGCCTCGCCCCTTGGCCTCGGAGTAGAAAGCACTGGGCCCCCCACCCAGCCATGACAGGCGCCGCCCGCCCTCGTCCCCCTCGCCCTCCGACAGGGACGTGCCGCGCTGGCAGGGCGGGGACGGCTCCTCGCCCTCCGACGACACGTACTGCTCCGCCTCGCGCATCTGCACAAAGAAGAAGGTCGACGCGCGTGCCCGCCCTGCTGCCTCCGCTGCTGCCACACTCCGGCTCTGAGCCTCCGCCTGCTCCGCCGCTGCCTGCGCCGACACCAGCTCCAGGATGGCCTCCGACAGCGACCCCGCCCCGCTCGCACTGCCACTGGCATTGGCAGCGCTGGGCGTGGCGAGCGAGGAAGACGCGGCGGTGAGAGTGGCGCTGCTGGCTGGCGACGTGCCGCCTGCGTCTTGGTGGTCTGTGCCTTGATGGCTGCTCACTGCCTGACTGGAACTGCGGCAAGGATGATTGAAGAGGGACGCAAAGAGGAGGAGCAAACGAGGCGGAGGAGAGCAAGGGAGGAAAGGGAGGTGAGGTAGTGGGGGAGATTAAGTTAGATGGGTTGGGTAGAACGAGGACACGGGTGCCTCCTGGGGGAGGGGGTGGGGAACGAGGGGGTGGGGAAGGGTTGGGGTGGACGGGGGGGGGGGGGTGTAAGTAGGGGGAGGATGAAGAGGACGTGCATGGTGGGAGTGGAAGGGCGTTACAGCAACACGCTTCGACTGACGAGTGGGTGGGCACGGGGAGGAGCGAGAGGTGTGGCGATCATGCGGGTGGATGCCAGCAGGCACGGCGGCAAGCTGCAGGCGCGGGATAACGCTGACCTGGCGCGGTGGCACGCGGTGGGGGAGAGCAGCGGCGGCGAGGCTGAGAGGTCGGGGGAGAGCGGCACGCGGATGAGCCTCATGGCGAACATCTGCGAGTCCGTCGAAATGCGGTTCGCCTTCTTGATGTCCGCCACCTGCTCGCCGTGCGCCACGCACGCCACGCACCATGCACGCCGCACGACATGCACGCCGCACAGCACACAGGTCAGGCGGGATGGAAACATGATGCATGATGCATGGAATGACTCGTTTGGTCCGCGAAAAAGACATGCGCACGACATAGGGCACGATGTATGGCGGAAGAGGGAAATCATCGCAGAGAGTCACGTGAGTATGTCGAGCGCATGTCAATACTCGGATTTGAAGCATGCCAGACGCCATAGCGGTGACAACTATGCACGGTTTTTCTAGGTCGAGGTGCAAGAGAAGCGAACAGATGGGCTGACAGCAGCGGAATGCGAAGTCGCAGCCACGCTGGAGTTCCATGCGGAGAGGGGCGGGTGAGGGGAGAAAGGCAATCGCGCAACACACGAGGAGTATTCAGGTGGGGCATGAGGGTGGCGCGGCGAAGCGCACCTCGGCGCCATAGCGGATGGCGATGCCGGCGAGGGTGTCGAAGCGAGTGACCTCGTGCAGCACGCACTGCCGCCCGTCATCCAACCGCGCGGGGGGTGACGCGCTCGACGCCAGGCGCGAACCGCTGCCTAAGGACATTCGCACGACACCTCTCTGACGTCTAAAAATCCTTCGCGAACGTGACTAAGTATGTCCTTTCAGGTCTACGTTTACTGACGCTTCGTAAATCACGCTAGGCATCGACGCTTGAAAGAAATACTCTACTCCTAAGTAAAGGCATCAGTGACAATTTCGGTAACCTAAAACGCACAATTTCAATGAACGACGCTTACGTGGCGAAAACGACGTACTGTGACACTACTAGTCCAAGGACCAAGGGGGGTGGATGTGTGCGAAAGAGCAGGGAGGTGTGGTAGAGTAGGAAGTAGGCAGTAGGTATGAGGCATGGCGGGAATGACGATAATTTGGCAGACGTCACACGGAGACGAAACAAACCGTTGGACCAGAAGCGGGCCAGGGAAAGCTGTGGGTGGAGGGGCCACGCGCAAGTGGGAACGAATCAAGCCCCATATTTGCTCTCCTCATATCAGTAGTGTAGTACGCAAAGAATTCAATGAAAAAACGAAGTCAAATCTTCTCATCTAAATTGCCTTCAATCTTGACTTATACACCCGTTTCAAATGGCCCAAGCCTCATCTTCTTCTTGCCTCCAAATTATGCACTATGCCCCCATTTTTAGATTCACCCGGACACCGGCGGCGACTGCTGCTGCTCCGCGCCCACACCAGAACCTCCAGCTGCACCATGGCTGTACCTCCAGCACTCGCCACGACAGCACCCCTAGGACGAGCACCCCCAGAAATAGTACACCCAGGACAAGCACCCCCAGCAACAGCACCCCCAGAACGCTCGGCGCCCGCACCCCCAGCTCCAGCACCCCCAGAGCTGATGGACCCCTGCTGCTGCGGCGGCGGCGATGGCTGCTGTAGCGGCGGTTGCGGCGGCGACAGGTGCTGCTGTGGCGGCTGCTGCGGCGGCGGAGGAGACCCCGGGGCCGAGGGGGCAGGCTCCGCAGAAACAGACAGCTGATCCGGAGCCTCAGGGCCCCTTGAGTAAGCAGACTCCTCCATTGGGCCAACCGAGGGAAGGGGAGTGACGTGAGACACATCAGACGAGGCAGGACCGGTGGAGTGGGGACAAGGAACAAGGGTGGGGTAACCGGGAGACCTCGGTGGGAGAAGTGGGCGTAGAAGGACACAGACTCGTCAAAAGTGACGCCACGCATGAAAGAAACGGTGACACGGCGGGTGGTAGAAGTTCCAGTTGGACGCGTCTAGGGGGAAACCAAGAAAAACACCAGGGATGGTGCGAGCAGTGAGCTTGTCCGCTCGAGAGTCGCAGACGTAAGCGAGGCACCCCAAGACGTGAAATGCAAACGCGTCACCAGGGGATCCGGTCCAGAGGAGGGTCGGCGAAACATATGGATGCTAGGAGCGCGACCACAGGTTAAGCTGGTGAGCGGCGTAGCGAACGGCAAACGACAACAGAAAATGGGGTGCACCGGTATTGGATCATGGAGGTACGAGCCACCTCCATGACCAAAACGATGCCTCACGTAGCGACCCCATTCTGCTGTGGGGAGTCCGGTACGGTGTACGTCTGGGTGATGCCCTCCGCACGACATAATTGGCCAAGCCGACCGGAGGTGAACTTATTGCCACGGTCGGAGTGGAGACGCAGCACGGGCTGGGTGCGGTGTACTCGGGCAGCTATGAGTCACGGGATAAGAATGTCAGGCACGTCGGCCTTCCGCTCCAGGAGAAACATCGTAGTGTAGCGCGATTTGTCGTCCACGTCAACTAGGAAGTAGCGCTTGCGACGTGGCCCAAGGACGGGGACTGGGCGCCAGACGTCCAGGAGCAGGGTCTAAAGTGGCGCACTGGTGGGGGGAAATTGTCAAACATATATTTATATGTTACTATAGGCTAGATAGGTGCGTACTCTTAGCGAGTACAACCCCTTAGACAAAACAACCCTGCACCACAAATTCTAGTTAATCTTGCTACTCTGAGATGGTATTACGCTAGGTTAGGATCCCGCCCACTTGCGCTTCTACCCCAAGTCCTAGCCCTAGCTCGAGCCGCCTGTCGCTAGCCGTCCGTCGCCCGTAGCCGCTGGTCGCCGCTGGCCGCCTGTAGCTGCCAGCCGCCCATAGCCGCCAGTCCGCTGGTCGCCCGTAGCCGCCAGTCCGCTGGTCGCCCGTAGCCGCCAGTCCGCTGGTCGCCCGTAGCCGCCAGCTGCCCGTAGCCCGCTGGCCGCCTGTCGCCGCCCGTAGCCGCCAGCCGCTCGTAGCCGCCAGCCCGCTTGTAGCCCGTTGGCCGCCTGTCGCCGCCAGCCGCCCGACGCCGCTGCCCGCCTGTCGCGATTGGCCGCCCGTCGCCGCCAGCCCGCCTGTCGCCGCTGGCCGCCCCTCGCCACCAGCCCGCCTGTGGCCGCTGGCCGCCTGTCGCCCCTGGCCGCCCGTCACCGCCAGCCCACCCGTAGCCGTTGGCCGCCAATCGCCGCCAGCCCGTCCGTAGCCGCTAGCCGCCCATCGTCGGTGGCCGCCCGTCGCCGCTGGCCGCTCGTAGCCGCCAGCCGCTCGTAGCCGCCAGCCGCCCGCTGCCTCCAGCCGCCCATCGCCGCTGGCTGCCCGCTGCTGCCAGCCGCTGCCCGTCGCCACTGGCCGCTTGCTGCTGCAAGCCGCCCGTTGTCGCTGGCCGCTCGCTGCCGCTAGCCGCCCGCAGCCGCTGGCCGCCTGTCGCCACCAGCCGCCAGTAGCCACTAGCCGCTCGTCCCCGCTGGCCGCCCGTTGCCGCCAGCCCGCCCGTAGCTGCTGGCCCGCATGTAGCCGCCCACCCGTCACCGCCAGACGCCCGTAGCCGCCAGCCGCCATCCCCCACCTCGCCGGCCTTGGCTTCCCCTCTGAGCCGGCACTCCCGCCGGCAGTCTCCACCGCTCTCCACCGCACTTCACCACTCGCCACCGCACTCCACCACTCCCCACCGCTCCCCACCACACTCCACCGCACTCCACCATACTTCACCGCTCTCCACTGCCCTCCTCCGCTTTTCCTCCTCCCTAGTCAGCAGCAGTAAGCTGCTGCAGCCGTGGTGATGACGGACTCACTGCTCCGTTTGGACGCGGAGGGTTGGGCCGTTGAGTTTGAGGTGTCGACCTCCGCCGTCACCTGACCGGGCAACGCCAGGACGGTCACTCCCTGGCCGTCCATGTCGACGATAAGCTCCCTCGCCCTGCCTTGCCTGCTGGCCTCCCTGCCGCCCCCACGTCTGCTGAGCGTGAGGCTTTTGTCATTGTCGAGCTTTCCTGCGCTGTCTGGGATTCGCGCGACGCTGTTGCTCAGCTTGCCAGTAGCCATGCCCTCCTGTCTGAGCGTCCCCGCTTTACTGCCGTCGCAAATGCCAAGGAATACTTAGATGCCTCATATCGCACTATTCCATCCCCGCCTCAGCCTCTGCCGGCTGCCTTATCCTCCCCATGCTGTTCACTGTACCGCCGTTGCGACCCCAGAGCAGCAACGTCAGGGTAAGGGCCGCGGCCTGAAGGGGGTGCGTGGCAAGGGGGAAGGGTGGTGGGGGTAGTGCGGGTGGTGGGGGTGGTGGAAGTGGGGGCAGGGAGGGTGGTGCAGACGACATTTGGCCTGATAGTAAATGTGTCGTCTCTAATGTGCTACCTTGAGATGCGATTCCTCCAAAGGCTCTGTAGCTCATGCGACTGTTCTCGAGCCATGTATGACAAAAGAATGGACTTAAGAAGCATTTTTTTGTGAAAATGTCACTCATGTTGCAATCTGGGCAGCCTTCGCTCAAGTGTGCATTTGGTCCGATAGAGCATTTGTCTTATCTTTTGCCCTAGCTTGAGATGCGATTCCTCCAAAGGCCCTGTAGCTCATGAGACTGTTCTCGAGCCATCTATGCCAAAAGAAAGGCATTGAGAAGCATTTTCCATAAAAATGTCACTCATGTTGCAATCGAGCCAGCCTTCGCTGTAGCGAGCATTTGGTCCGATAGTGAATGCGTCGTAACTTTTGCCCTACCTTGAGATGCAATTCCTCCAAAGGCCCTGTAGCCCATGATACTATTCTCGAGCCATCTATGCTAAAAGAAATGGCTTGCCAAGCGCTTTCCATGAAACTGTCACTCATGTTGCAATCTAGTCAGCCTTCACTCTAGTACGCATTTGGTCCGATTAAAATGTGTCGTATCTTTTGCCCTAGCTTGATATGCGATTCCTCTAAAGGCCCTGTACCTCATGAGACTGTTTTTGAGCCATCTATGCCAAAAGAAAGGGCTTGAAAAGAATTTTTAAAGAAAATATTCCTCGTTGCAATCTGGCCAGACTTCGCTCAAGTGCGCATTTCGTCTGATAGTGAATGTGTCGCATCTTTTGCCCTACCTTGAGATGCAATTTCGCCAAAGGCCCTGTAGCTCATGAGACTTCTCTCGAGCCATCTATACCAAAAGAAAGGGCTTGAGAAGCAGTTTCCATAAAAATATCACTCATGTTGCAATCTGGCCAGCCTTCGCTCAAGTGCGCATTTTGTCCGATAGTGGATGTGTCGTAACTTTTGCCCTACCATGAGATGAGATTCTGTGAAAGGCCCTGTAGCTCATGAGACTATTCTCGAGCCATCTATGCCAAAAGAAAGGGATTGAGAAGCATTTTCCATGAAAAGGTCACTCAGGTTGCAATCTGGTCAGGCTTTGCTCGATTGCGCATTTGCTCTGATAGTGATTGTGTCGCAACTTTTGCCCTACCTTGAGATGCGATTCCGCCAAAGGCCCTGTAGCTCATGCGATGATTTTGGAGCCATCTATACCAAAACAAAGGGCCTGAGAAGCATTTTCTATGAAAATGTCACTCATGTTGCAATCTAACCAGCCTTCGCTCAAGTGCGCATTTGGTCCGATAATGGATGTGTTGTAACATTTGCCCTACCTTGAGATGCAATTCCTCCAAAGGCCATGTAGCCCATGAGACTGTCCTCGAGCCATCCACGCTAAAAGAAAGGGCTTGAGAAGCATTCTCTATGAAAATGCCTCTCATGTTGGAATCAGGCCAACCTTCTCTCAAGTGCGCATTTGGTCCGATAGTAAATGTGTCGTATCTTTTGCCCTACCTTGAAATGCGATTAGGGTTTAGGGTTTAGGGTTTAGGGTTTAGGGTTTAGGTTTAGGGTTTAGGGTTTAGGGTTTAGGGTTTAGGGTTTAGGGTTTAGGGTTTAGGGTTTAGGGTTTAGGGTTTAGGGTTTAGGGTTTAGGGTTTAGGGTTTAGGGTTTAGGGTTTAGGGTTTAGGGTTTAGGGTTTAGGGTTTAGGGTTTAGGGTTTAGGGTTTAGGGTTTAGGGTTTAGGGTTTAGGGGGTTTAGGGTTTAGGGTTTAGGGTTTAGG